CCTATAGAGTAAAAAATACTGTTTCTTTCCTTAAAGAGAAAGTGATGAATTCTGTGCTCAGGAATTTAGGATTTTAGACCTGGGAGAACCATAAGGACTATAAATTCTTGTTGCCTTATTTTAGATATCACCTTTTAAGGGTGTGATTTCCTAGGTCATTCAGGTAACATAGAAGACGTCAACAAATTATACAGGGTCATTGTGAGTTTTCATAGGTGAATGTGATGTGATAAAGGCAGTGTTGTGGGCACCTGGGTGGCTCAGTTAGTTAAGTGACTGCCTTCAGCTCAGGTCATGATCCCGGAGTCCCTGGATCAAGTCCCACATTGGGCTCCCAGCTCCACAGGGAGTCTGCTTCTCCCTCTGACCTTCTCCTCTCGCGTGCTCTCACTGTCTCTCTCTCAAATAAATAAAATCTTTTAAAAAATAAATAAAGGTAGTGTTGTGAACACGTCAGTCTAAATTGTATCGTGATTTTAGGGATGACAGGGAGTCCATTTATGATCAGTGCATTGGTAACTGGGTCCTAAAAGAAATAGATACTAAAACTTACTAGAGGGGCACCTGGGTGGCTTAGCTGGTTAAATATCTGACTCTCGATCTCAGGGTCGTGAGTTCAAGCCCCATGTTTAAAAAATATATATTAGATTGGGACAGAGAAGATGTGGAGAAATGAATACCAAGATACATTTGTTGATCAGGCACTCAATTGGAATAATACTTTGGAGAAAAGTTTACAGAGTCATAATTTAAAATGTGTATACCTTATTGATTAGCTGTTCTGGGGGAGCACTTGCATAAATCCAGGTACTTACGTGTTTTTTTTTTTTTTTTAAGATTTTATTTATTGATTTGAGAGAGAGACAGTGAGAGAGAGCATGAGCAAGGAGAAGGTCAGAGAAAGAAGCAGACTCCCTGCGGAGCCGGGAGCCCGATGCGGGACTCGATCCCGGGACTCCAGGACCATGACCCGAGCCGAAGGCAGTCGTCCAACCAACTGAGCCACCCAGGCGTCCCTACTTAACGTGTTTTTTATAACTTGGGAGTAATAACAAGCTGAGACAGTCTAAATGCCCATAGATAAGTAGATAGGTGGATAACGAGAAGTGGTTATTGTTTAAAGGAATTAACTAGATTATATGTAGTAACATGGATAGTACAGATTTATGTAAGTAAATGTTCAGAATGACTGTGTTTTTTACTGCTCTGTGTGTGTGAGAGAGAGAGAAAGTACCTGAAAAGTTCTGGAAATACAAAAACCAAACTTGCAAAGCCTGGCTAACTCAGTCGGTAGGGCAGGGTGTAGAGAATTAAACAAATACCAAACTCAGTGGAGTGGGGGAGGTGCATAAGATGACCCCATAACCTGTAATGTTCTCATTTGTTTTTTACGGATAATGTATCCATTGAGGTTGCTTTTTAAAATTACTCTTTTTTAAAAAGAGAACTAGTGAGTACTCTGAATGTCATAATCTTACTGTCATTTGTTCAGTATGTTAGGAAGATATGTTGACTTGCTAGGACATACATGCTAACGTAGCTCTAGGGGATGCCAAGAGATGTGAGGATGTCTTTGTCTCGAAGAAATTACATAAATGTGGTTTGTTTTGTTTTAAAGATTTTATTTATTTATTTGACAGAGATCACAAGTAGGCAGACAGGCAGGCAGAGAGAGAAGGGAAGCAGACTCCCCGCTGAGCAGAGAGGCCGATGCGGGGCTTGATCCCAGGACCCTGGGATCGTGAGCTGAAGGCAGAGGCTTTAACCCACTGAGCCACCCAGGCACCCCCATAAATGTTTTAAAAAAAGGATAGAAAACCCAGTGGATTTTATACACATCAGGACATTATTTAGTTTTGATGTAATACAAAATTTCCTGTATGTTTTGTCTATTAGAGATGGTTTATGTTTATATAAATGTTACATTAAACTTTTTTTTTTAAGATTTTATTTATTTATTTTGACAGACAGAGATCACAAGTAGGCAGAGAAGCAGAGAGAGAGAGAGAAGAGGAAGCAGGCTCCCTGCTGAGCAGAGAGCCCGATGCGGGGCTCGATCCCAGGACCCTGGAATCATGACCTGAGCCAAAGGCAGAGGCTTTAACCCACTGAGCCACCCAGGCGCCCCTACATTAAACTTCTTGAAAAATGCTTTTGGTTTATTAAATTTACCTCACTTTTGGAAATGAAACACAAAATGTAATAGAAGTAGAAATGTATTTAGAAACAAATTACCTTGGTTTTGTCTATTCAGTGAAATCTTTTTTTCTGGTAGTTAGGGTCTCCATACCCATAGCATAGCAGACAGCTGGCCTGAGATTTTTATAAAGGTTATATAGTTGAGAGGTTCTAAATGAGGAGAGTACAGCGGAGTCTTCTGGGAATTCAGTAAGAATATATGTGACAGTTCTCTGTGGAACTTGGGAGTATTTGATTCAGGAAGTCCACAGTGCATCTTGTGATTTATTCTCCTATGTAGCTGAGTTAAGAGCCACCATTTTAAAAAAATGCCACCACTTGAGATAAAAGAAGCCCAGAAAGTGCAATGAGAATGCCTAGGAAAATGGGGCACCTGAATTTGAGCCCCACATGGGTATAGAGATTATTTAAAAATAAAATCTTAAAAAAAGAATGCATAGGAAAATGGCTAGGGCAAGGGTAAGACTCAGGATAGATCGTTTTATGAGCTAGGGGTGGAAATCGCTAGGCCTTTGGAGATGGTATGACCATGCCAGAGAGGGTAGGCAGAGTATAGTAGGAACATTACTGCCCACCTTTAGGCAAAAGCATCGGACAGGTCTCTCGTTTTCTAGCTTGTTTTTCTAGCGATCTTGAGAAATAAGAGCTGGCTTTAGTTGAGACCTGAACTTTGTTATTGACCAGTCCATACTGAGAGTAGAATCAGTCACTTGTTCATTTTGTGGGTAAGGAAATCCCTGCCATGGGGTAACTTGTGGTTCTTGTTCTTAGGGACAAAGTGGCTGTTCTTCAAGCACTTGCGTCCACAGTGAATAGGGTAAGTAGACTTTTAGCTTTTTGTTGTGGATCTTGAAAGTTTCTTAGAAATGATCTAATCCAGTCCCTTCATGTGATAAATGGGGAAACTAAAGCCTTTAAAGGAACTGGCTCTAAAAGTGCTTGACTTAGGCCTTTGTCTTTTATCTCCAAATTTAGTGTTTTTAATCCTAAACCAGTAATCCTTAAACTTAATCCCCTAAAGAGCTTGTTGAAATGTCCGGCCCTGGGGGATGGTTTAGGTGTGATACTGTAATGCAAGTGATCTGTAGACCAACTTTGAGGAATATTGTGTTTACAGTGCTGTAAATAATGCAACGATTAAGAATGTGGGTCCTGGAGCCAGTGTTTTGTTTCATAGCCGAGCAACTCGCTTTGTGATCTCCATCAAAAAGTTCTTTTATCTCTTGATGCTTCTATGTGTTTATGAAGTGGGGATTAATTATAGCATCAAACTTTAAGGTTATAGTGTGAAATAATTAAGTTGGTACAAAATAAAAGGATATAGGGCAGTGCCTGGCACAAAAGGAATACTCAGTAAATGCTGGCTCTTTTATTATTACTGCAACTTATTTTAGTGATATATTTGTCAATAGCTTGCTCTGTTGACAGTTCACAGAGTTTATAGTCTGACAGGTTAACTAAAATCTTGGTAAATGCCTCAGAAATGGGAACTTCTTTTTTCTTTGAAGTGATCTCTGCACCCAGAGATTACTGTGAAGCTCAAACTCAACCCTGAGATCAGGAGTCACATGCTGTACTGACTGAGCCAGCCAGGTGCCCCAGAAATGGAGCTTTCTGAGTGATTATATATTTCATCCTACGAAAGCTATACTTTCAATTTCAGCTATGGGGATAATGTCTAAAATAATGAAGACGTTAACTGCTGTAATAGCTGTGTGGATACTATACCTCTCTAAGGCCATTGTCACAGATTTCCAGAATTGTTTTCTGTTGTAGATGTTACAATTAAGGAGTCATGGGCCAGACATACCCTGATACATCTTAGCAGTTTCTCCGAAAGGGTTTTTATAATATTGCATCTCCACACTGGCAAGACATTGAGATTTTCAGCAGTTTACTTATCTCTGAACAGGCCCCTGAAATGTAAACTAGAGTAATGGTCTGCTGAGACTGATCTCAGTTTTTTAATGAGAATGGCCTTCAGGTCAAAGAAGTTGTAGAATTATGTGTACAGTTGTCTGATTTATCTGTGTTTGGGCCCTTAAAATCCAAGGTATAGTCATTTATTCATTCAGTAACCACATATTCTACCCTTCTGATGCTTATCAGGCACTGTATGGGATGTAGAATAAAGACAGTCCTTGCACAGTTCCTAGAGAAGGGAGCATGAAGGAGCACTGAGAAGAGGGTACGTAACCCAGGCTGGGAAAGGACTTCCAGAGGAGCTGATAATTGGATTGCTGCTAGGAAGGTGAGCAGCAAGGATACTGTGGTGGGAAAGAGCATTCCTCGCAAAAACAGCAGCTCGCACAAAGGCCCAAAGGCATAGAATGAGTAGTTGGTATGGTAGGAATCAGGGATTTGAAGGGTGGAGACATGAGAGATAGGCAAGATGGCGAATGCTATGCTGGGGACTCAAGTCCTCTGAAGAATTTTTTTTTTTTATATTATTGATTTATTTATTTGACAGAGAGAGAACACAGGGGGAGTGGGAGAAGGAGAAGCAGGCTTCCTGTGGAGCAGGGACCAAGGACCCTAGGATCATGACCTGAGCCAAAGACAGATGCTTAATGACTGAGCCACCCAGGCACCCCCCTCTGAAGAATTTTAAGCAGTGGTATGATAACCAGATTTTAGATAAGACAGCCATGTGGAAACGGGAAACCTTTCAACTTTAATGTAGCATAAAGATCTTAAAACTAGCATATCCGAACCCAAACCTTTGCTGTCTTCTCAATAGCAACTCCATTATTCTAAATGCCCAAATCAAAACCCTAGGAGTTATCTATGACTCTTCTTTCTTTCATGCTGCACGTTAGTAAATCCTTTGTTTCTTCCTTTAAGATACCTGTGTGTGGACTCCCATCATCTCTCCAGGTTCAGTGATTGGCTGGGAGAACACTCAGGACTCAGCATATAGTCCTACAGCTACAATTTATTATAGAAAAGGCACAAAGCGAAGTCAGCCAGGGGAAAAGTCACACAGGGTGAAATCCAGAAGAAACCAGGTGCGAGTTTCCGAGAGTGTTTTCCCAGTGGAGTCACACAGGACACTTTTAATTCCTCCAACTGAGTTGTAAGAGCATGTGTGAAACGTCTACCCATGAAAGTTCATTAGAGACTCAGGGCTCAGAGGTTTTTCTGGTGTCTGGCCACATAGGCACCCTGTGCCTGGCACATACCAGAATTCCAGACTTTGAGAAGGAAGTACAGTTTAGGCACAACAAGCCGTTTCGTCAGTACTGGGGGTGGTGGGAACCCTTCCCAAATCCAGGTTTCCAGGTGCCAGCTAAGGGCCAGCCTTGCAGGCAGGTCTTTCTAAGGACAGCAGTCTCGGGCCTGGTAACTCTTTCTGCACATTATCAGATTCTGCACTCATATCATCATCACCACAGTTGCTTTCCTCGTGTAAGTTATTATCATCCAATACTCTGGACTGATCCCAGGAGGCTTGGTCTCTTATATTGCCCCAGCTCCCCACACACTGCTCGCAGTTAAGCAGCCCTGATGATCCCAGTAAGATGTTGGATCACTCCTTCCTCAGAACTCGAGTGGCCTCATTTGTCATAATTGGGATAAAAACTGAGGTCCATATGAGGGCTCCTTAGGCCCTCCCGCTATCCTCCCCACCCCCACGTTACCTCTGACAGCGTCTCTTGCTATCTTCTTGGACACCCTAAGCGTCCTGGGCCTCCTGGCTAATTCTCAGTTTCCCAACAGGCACACTTCTGCCTCAGGGTCTAATGTTTGCTATTCCTTCTGCCTGGACTGTTTCCCCAGATACTCACATTACTTGCTCCCTCACCTGCTGAACTCTGCCTCAGTGTCACTTCTTCAGTGAGGCCTTCCCTGACCACCCGCCTTAAGTTGTAGATCTGCTACTTTCTTGTCCCTTTTTGTACTTCATTTTTCTGCATAGCAGTTAACCTGTTTTTAATTTACTGTATATTGTTTATTTTTACTTTCTGGAGGTTCCTCCCCTACTAGACTAAGCTTTATTTGGGTAGAGGGTGATTTTATTGTCTCCCTGGAGCTAGAATAATGCCTAGCACATAGGTGCTCTGTAAATAATGAATAGGATGGCACTGAACTACGGCTGTGGCAGTTGGGATAAGGGACAGTGGAGTCAGTAGGGGAAGTTAAAGAACTAGCGTGGGTTAGATCTGACGATATCTCAGTTGACTAGAAGTAGTGGGACAGGATCTACAGGTTGGACTGCAGATTGGTCAGTACCATTCACTGAGAGAAGACAGGACAGGTGGTGGCTTTGGGGAAGTTCACTTTGGGGAGCAATTTGGTCTGAGGCATCTGAGCTACAGGGCCAGAGTGGAGTTGTTTCACACAGACGGTGGAGGACTTGGAAATCTTATCTAGGGAGCGAAGTTAGGAGATAATGGGAAGAATAAGTCTAGTAAGTTAAAAGAAGCCCAGCATGACACCACAACTAGAGGCCCCAAACAGGCTTCTGACGGGTGGTGCAGAGGGTCAGAACCAGAGCTAGGCACTAGGTTGAGTGTAATTAGGGAGTGAGCAGTCCAGGGCAGCTAACGGGGAACTGCCACCTCTGGTTTACCATTAACTGACTGCCTCGTTCAGTAGAGTGACATGACCACATGAAATGAGCCTCCCATGAGTATGAAGGGATATTGGTTTTGAAAGTGGCAGCAGGAAGCTGAGATGCCCCCCAAAATCCTACTTAGGTATGAGTAAGACAAGGCATCAAGGGGACAGTTAGAGATTCTGGATGTAGGGTGAGTTTTCCCAATGGAACAAAAGTCCCAGAAGGCCCAGGAAAGGAGGCTCTAAGGGAGAAGAGAGGAATAGAGGAAGTAATTGGGGGGGCAGTTTTCAGTGAATGGTACTGAAGAGTTGTTCAGGGTTCTCCCTAAAACAGGGTAAAGCAGTATGTAGAACGTTCGACAAAAGGGCATAGGAGAAGCTGCTGCTATTAGCTCCTTCCAAGAGGGCACAGCAGTGTCCTCTATTTGGGGAAGGGACTCTTGGTGGGTAGTGGCTAGGTTTGAAGGTGTGCAGGACACTGGTGCCCATATTGGTTAATTCAGAGGATCTTCCATTTAAAACAGCACTAGTTCCTGGAAGCATCCTCAGATCTGAAGAAGCAGCCATGGGGGTTTGAGTCATTGTTTGCCGTGTGTGTAATGACAAATGCGTCTTACAGAGCTAAGAGTGTTGTATAGGTGTTCGTGTTTCTCTCACTACACACACACACTTATTTCTATATGTGTTACAGATCTAATTAATACTTACTTTACAGTGTTTTTGGTCATCAAAACTCAAGGTCTTAATGAAAATCTAACTAAAGAGACTTCTGTGTCTTCACAGGACACTACGGCTGCCCCTTACGCATTTCAGGATGATCCCTACCTCATACCAACATCCTCTTTGGAATCCGTGAGTATCTTCGCGCACTTTTTCTAGCATTGTTTTATCTTGTTTGGGTACAAGCACGGATACAGAATTTAACTTACATGTAAAAACCTTTGAAAAGTTAACAGTTCAGAGTTTTGGAGATTGGCTGTGGGAAGGATTTGGGATTTAAAACTTAGGGCTCCTCACACTGGAGCAGTCCACTCAGCTTCAGTGCACTGGTTTCATGTACCCCCGGCTGTATAAGATGTGACCTAAGATGTCACACTCAGTAGCAGAGGGGGACATACAACAGCGTGTAATTTAACTTCTGATTGGGCTTTTGTGTATTGCTGCATTCTTGGAGGGGTGGATAGTACTTGCTGAGAGTGTTCTTTTGATCTCTTGGTCAGTTTACATCTAAATCCTTTTCTTTATATAGCGTTCGTTTTTATTGGCAAAGAAGTCTGGGGAGAATGCAGCAAAGTACGTTATTAATTCACATCCCAAATATTTTCAGAAGGACATAGCTGAACCTCATATACCGGTAAGGAGAAGTAATTGTGATTTTTCAGGTATTACTAAACTAAGTAAATGTAAATGAAACCAAGTTTTAGGGCTAATATTTCAGTAGCCACTTGAATGGCCTCAGTATTTGGGTGAAGTCTTTTGATGTATATAGTTATCTTTGCTTTCAGTAGTAGCTTTTTTTTTTTTTTTTTTTTTTCTTTTTCCCTCCCCCCAAACACCTGTCTGTGTTTGCTCCTCATCTTGTTTTCCCTGTTTGGCTTCTGTGACACCAGAATCTTAGGTCTTTACCTCTGTGACTGTTCTTCTCGGTTTTTTTGAGTAGCTTTTCTATCCACTACTTAAGTGTGGAGGTCTTCTTAGGTTTCCAGGCCCAGTCATTGTCTTTTTCCTGTCTGCAGTTTTCCTGCGGCAGCAGCCCTTCTATTCTGTTTGGCATTCTTGTATACCTGGCCCAGTTCTCTCTGCTTTGATAGTCCAGTGTCCTGGTTTCTCTTCAGTGTGTGTCAGCCCTTCGGCCTTTCACTTTGAACTCCAAATTGTATTTCCACCTACCTCTGCGTTGTGTCGTCATGGAGTGTGAGTGTTGTGTGGCATGTTAGCTATTGTGCTCAGTGCCAGTGTTACCGTGGCCAGTGGAACAGAAGCACCTCTGCTCTCCTGGGTTTATTAGTGGAAATAAGAGCCTCAGACCCATGTCCCAGACTCCTTGCTTCCCAAAAGGCACGCATCCAGGCACAGCCTCCTGCTTCTCAGGGAGCATCTGCCAGTAACAAAGTAGGAGGTCAGTGTGATTGTGCAGGTGACGGTGCCAGAGTCCTGTGCGGAAACAGTGGCAGTGATGGTCCACTCGTGCCCCTGGATGTTTCTAACCAGTAGTTACTCTTCTGTGCTGATGAGTTGACCTCTGCTTGAAGCCTTGTGTGAGTCCCTGCCTCCCTGGCAGACAGCACTGTCACACCTTGTAGATCTCTCATTTACATACACACTGCTGTTCTTTCCTTCCTTGCTCTGTTAGATGGGGAGAACCTTGAAAATAGAGAAGGACTTTCACCTGTGCCTCTAATTCCTCACTTTATGCCTGACAGAAAATGGTCAGCATTCAATAAGTAATGAAATAAACTAGTGAGTGAGGTAAAATCAACATATTTTGGTGATGGTTAGCGTTTTTAGAGTATAAGAAGCATCTGGGCTGACAGGTTTCTCCTTTGCAAATCAGATATACTCTGATACTGTGAAACAAGATTGGAAGGAAAGGAGAGAGGATTGTTTTGGCAGAGGATGAAATAAATTCAACTTGAAGTTGGGGAATTTAGTTGGAAACCAGATTTTTTAGATTGAAATAAATACTTATTTTTGGGTGCTTTTAAATTCTCCCTGAGCTAGGAGATAGCTAAATGATCTTGTTTCGAATCCCTGAGGGGTTCTTTGATTTTTTTTTTAAATTTAATATAATTCTTTTAAGTTATAGTCCCTACAAAGATAGATGTATACGTGGTGCCCCGTGCATGAAACATGAATTGGAACCATAAGGTTTTATTCTGGTGTGTTGGTGATAAAAGTTTAGTCCTCTTGGTTACTGCCCCTTTACCTGTTTGTGGTAATTAGCCATCTTCTTTTCCTAGTGTTTAATGCCCGAGTACTTTGAACCTCAAATTGAAGATATAAGTGAAGCAGCCTTGAGGGAAAGAATCAAGCTCAAAAAAGTGAAAGCATCTGTGGACATGTTTGATCAACTCTTGCAAGCAGGTGACTCAGTTCATTTAAAGCACCCCTAGGAACGTGGGCTCAGAAGTGGGCTGTGCTTATGTGATCCCGCCGGTTGTGAGCAAGTTAGAAGGATCTCTGCTTGATGCTGTGGTCATGCTTTTAAGAGTTAATATTTCAAGTTCTGCTTCAGCTTTTGTCTTTTTGGAAATGTGAGATGGAGTTGCAACTTAGTTTACTGTGCTCTGGGCTGTATTGTGCAGCAGGCAGAGAAATGAGAGAACCATTGTTTCTTAGCTTCCATTTTTAACCTTAGGCATGTACATACTGTATTCAGATTTCTTGCACTTTTTAAGTATGTTTGGAGGCATAAACAGACAAGGAATATTTAATAAGGAAAGAGCAATAAACTGGGGTACTGATTCTAACTCTGATACTGATTAACTCTGTGGCCTTGGAAGAATCACTTAATTTCTCAGAACTTCTGTCTCTAAAATTCTCCGACTGTCTGACTTTGATCTGGATGAATCTCTAGCGGAATAGATCTCAATTGCATGGCCTGTAAGCTACCAAGACAACAGCGTACCTATAATAACATCAGAGGCAGTGGGATTTTAAGTTAATGGACTCCAGAATGCTGTTGAGTGATTTAGGATAATAAACACAGAAGAGAGAGGAACTGGACTGAATCACTCAGTACGTTCTTCAGCACAAGAGACCTTTCCAGAAAGCTGTGTTTGAGAATATTGGTGTATTGTCTGCCGGACATTGAATATACAGATGAATTGCTGAAGCACATTATAATTTAGGGAGGCTTTTGCCTCTGCTTGTTGCATATGGTAATTGGTAAGTCTGCATTCAAGTACTGAGTGCTCAGACCTGTCTTCCTCTAGGTTCATAACACTAAGTGCTGTAGGCACACGCGGACGCTCCGTACATGCCTCTAAAGACGGCATGTCAGCCCCACAGCTCAGAGTAACAGAATAAACCAATATGCCATGGGGGTGGAGGCGGGTAGAGGAAGTTTTACTGTCAAGCCCCTCATAAGTACCAAACACTTTGCTGGGCATTTCACATACTGAATTTAGTTCTATAATGTCTCAGGAGTTGCTGTGTTTTATAATCATTTTATAAAGGAAGCTGGTTATTAAGTCTCTAGGGATACAGAGTTCTGAGATGGTAAGATCCAGTTCAGTTCCTCTCCACAGCCTCTCTGCTCTCCATTCTCCCGTGCTCTTTTATGAGCTTTCAAATGTCCCAATTGGCATTTTTATTATCAGTATATTTTCTTTAGAAAAAATACTGTATCTTATATTTTCTGTTCCCTTTTTTTCCCTAGTGTCAAGACAGGAACATAATGTTCCTGAGTATTGCTTTTTTAAAAACTACTATAACTAGACATTTCTGCTCACATCTCTAGGCAAGTATTCCACTGAGGGCCTGGATCCAAGTAGAATAGTTCTGCTTGCATTTGTAGAAATGGAACTGGGCCAGGGGAACTGAGTGGCAGTAATTTGCTGAGTGTTCAGTTTGGAAATGATCATTAAAACCATGAGATCGTTTCTCTGGGGACATGAGTGTGTAAACTAAGTGAGCACAGGGTCAGGCGTTGTCTTGTGCTTTAGTCCCTCCTGTCAGACCCCACAGTTAGTAGGGATTGTGTCCCTGTCTGCATCCCTTCAGGCGTTGGGGTTCATGTGGACTGCATCCTCATACATGCTGAGAATGGTGGATGACATGAAGTATGCAGCCAAGAGAGCCACAGCCTGGAGAAAAAGCGAAGAATTTTAATGCAGTGAGCTTCAGTTCTTTATTGTTTCAATGTTTCTTTCCTTTTTTTTCTCCTACCCACAGGAGCCACTGTATCTTTGGAAACAAGTAATAGTCTCTTGGATTTGTTGTGCTACTATGGTGACAAGGAGCCCTCAACTGATTATCATTTTCAGCAAAGTGAAAAATCCGAAGAGTTGGTAATGGGTTTTGGCAGTGGTTTTTTTTTTTTGTTTTTTTTTTTTTTTTAATTTATTTTGCCAGTAATAACCATTTCAAAGTAAAGATGGTTCTTAGGCCCTATGTTAGGATAATAGAGATTTGTTCTGAGATGCGATGTGGTTTAGTAGCTTTGATAAAAAGTGATGTGTAGGAAGAAAGATCTAAACAATTATTTTAATTCTGGTTCCCTTAAAAATATGTTGATCTTACCTAAAAAGTATGTTGACATTGCCTACCACATGCAGGCAAAGCTTTGACCAGAAATGTTTAGACAAACTCCTCCTTGTTACTTAACACTGACCATATGTAAGGAACAGGGAAAGACCCTGTGGCCCCAGCCCCCACCCCCTGCCACCAAAATATGCATGCATAACGTGGGCAGAGAGGAGTGAGCTCACTGTGCTGGGGTGTAGGGCAGTATTGTGCCAAGGGCCGGCCTGTAGATAGGGAGTGCTATCTTAATTTCTTAATTAAGAGTTTTACTTCTAGAAAAAGATCCCGAGAACATCTTTGGGTCATGTGAATAAAGAATATATACATCATTTTCACAATGTTCATACATGTAGATAGAAAAATGTGGAAAACTGAATGTCCAGTGATGAATGATTGGATTATGGTAATGTGATTGTCGGGACTAGTGTAGGTCTGTTTGGCTGTGGAAAGATGCACCATATATTGAAAAGTGAGACGATAGGCTAGATAATATTTCATTTTTATAAAATATTTCTATATGCATGAGAGAAGATGAAAAGTTCTTTTCCTTCTATTTATGTCTTAATTTTCCTCCACTGACTATGGATTATTTACATACAGAGTAATTAAGACGTTTAAAATGTATAGGCAGGGGCGCCTGGTTTAGGCTCCTGCCTTCGGCTTGGGCCATGATCTCAGGGTCCTGGGATCGAGCCCCGCATTGGGCTCTCTGCTCTGCGGGGAGCCTGCTTCCTCCTCTCTCTCTGCCTGCCTCTCTGCCTGCTTGTGATCTCTCTCTGTCAAATAAATAAAGTTTTTTTAAAAAAAAAAGAAAAGTATAGGCAAGTGTGTTATTTCTGTGGGGCTCAAGCTAGATAGAGCCAGCTCAAGCCAGGTTGTGTTTGGGTTTGCAGTTCTTCTCTCCCGTTGAGGCTGTGCAGGGTACCGGCTTCATCTGTCTCCAGGCTGTCAGTTCTCATTTCAAGTGCTAGCTTTACTTTTTGTCTCTAAGTGAGCTGATTTATGCTGAAAAAATTATCAGTTTTTTAAATGAACATTTACTGGGCTTTTTCCTTCACCTTCTGTTGGATCTGTATTTTATTTTTACAAAGTTTCCTTTGCCCTTTTTTTTTTTTTTTTTTTAAGATTTTATTTATTTATTTGACAGAGATCACAAGTAGGCAGAGAGGCAGGTTGGGAGAGGGGGAAGCAGGCTCCCCACTAAGCAGAGAGCCCAATGCAGGGCTCTGTCCCAGAACCCTGAGACCATGACCTGAGCTGAAGGCAGAGGCTTAACCCACTGAGCCACCCAGGCACCCCTCCTTTGCCTTTCTGGTTTTAAGTATCTGAGTAGGAGAATACATTGCATTGTCATTTTTTGTTTTATTTTTTGTGATGGTTCATTTCAGGAGGAGGCCGCAGAGGAAAATAACGAGAAATCGAAGAAGGCCAGTCATCAGTTTGGAGACCAATGGAGGTACGTTACACGTCAGTAGAACCTTATAGAGTGGTTTTTTTAATGGGGCGTGGCTCCCCAGCACCCCCTCAAGAAGATGCACTCCTGAAGTTTCTAAAGTAGAACTTGTTTTCAACATACAGTACAAGTGTGACCTTGGCATGATATGCATTTAGAGCTCGTTCCCTAAGATCTTTACTTCCAATGAGCAATACTTAGTTCTTCGTGCGCCTGTTTGTGCCCCCCCCCCCATGCCCCATTTCATTTCATGTCACCTTACATACTGTTGGTTCCTTGGGTAGTTCCATCAGTGCTCCTACTCTGCAATATATAACTCACGTTCTGAAAGATTGGCTTATTTTGTTTGTGTAAGAATACACATGCACTGGAATATAGCTCTAAATTAAGGCAGCTGGCAAGCAAGCAGAACTACTCAGCATTTCTAGACAGAAGGTGAATAATGTTTAACTAACATTTGAGAATTGACGTTAACCGAATAGAAATGTCTGAGAAATACTTCACATGGACATCTGGAGAAGGAGAGCTACCATTAATATCTGAAGTCTTTTAAAGTGATAAGTTGAATAGAATCAAACATTAAATTTCCCTAGTAGATTTTAATTATTTTGTGTAGTGGTTAAGAGCATGGACTTTGGCATACCATCCTGGCCCAAATCCTGCTTCTGATTTCCAAGACCTCTTTGTAAGAGGCAGAAGAAAGATACAACTGTATAAGATGGTTACGTTAGGTGATTGTTTGGTAGGGAAGAAGGAAGAAGATGCCCCAGAGTGTGAGATGTACATGCTAGACTATGAGATTTTGGAAAAACTGCTTGTCCATGGGGGGCTTTGGGGAGTTGTATATGGTTGAGAGAGGGTGGGGAAACTTCACTGTGTTCCCTCTGTACACTTTGCTTTTTGTTCAGTATTGTATGTATTTTTTTTAAAAATTCTCAGTCCTGGGTCTGTCATTAACCGCAAAGCCGCGGACCACTTGAGGTGTTCAAGCCTCAGTTTTTCCAAACACTTTTCAGAATGCTAACCATCTCTCTTTCTCTCTCTCTCTCTCTCTCTTTGGATGCTAGGAATTGTGTGTATGAAGTGCTTAGCAAAGTGCTTGGAACATTTTGAACTCTCAGTAGGTTGTGGTAGCTATTGGTTTTTCCTGTTTCCCCTGGTTCATTTACTCTTCTGTGTCTAGGCCAAAAAACAATGCTGAGAGAATCTTTGCTCTCATGCCAGAGAAAAACTCACACTCCTACTGCACAATGATCCGAGGAATGGTGAAGGTAACATTTATTTTTATACTTCTGTCTTTAATGTCCACTAATTCCGGGTTTTTCACCCTCAGAATTGTTGACAGTTGGGCTGGATAATACGTTGCGGTGGGGGCTCTCCACTGCACTGTGGAGTGTTTAGAAGCTCCCTGTTCTCTACCCACTGCATGTCAGTTCTGCGTCCTCCCTGCCCTCAGTTGTGACAACTAGAAATATCTCCAGGAATTACTGCATGTCACCTGGGAGGCAAAATTTCCACAGCAGTGGAGTGTGAACTTCTTGAGAACCAGGACCTTGTCTGCTTCTTTTACTCTTGTATTCCCAAACTCTAATAAAACAGTTGCTGTGCAAATATTTCTTAACATGTCTGATGATGTTTAACGTTTATGCTCTGTCTCCCAGCACCGAGCTCTCGTGCAGGCATTAAACTTGTACACTGAATTACTAAACAACAGACTCCATGGTAAGTGTGTTTGTGGAGAATTTCCTTTTCTTCCCTTAAGAATCTGTAACATCTGGAATGCCTGAGTGGCTTAGCCAGTTAAGCATCTGCCTTACGCTAAGGTCATGATCATCGGGTCTTGGGATCGAGCCACATCGGGCTCCTTGCTCAGTGGGGAGCCTGCTTCTCCCACTGCCTGCCATTCCCCCTTGCTTGTGTGCGCATGCTTTCTCTCTCTGACAAATCTTGGGAAAAAAAGAAAAAGTCTAACATTTTCGAATCTGCAGACTATTTGGATCTTGCCTCAATTATGAGCTCAATTTTCATTTTTTCATGTGGTATTGGTGGTAGAAGCAGGAGGAGAGATCCAGAGCAGGGAGTGATTGTCTGGTGTTGTGGGCACATGGGAATGAGCTAGGAGCCATATGCGCATTACTGCTTTGCCTTCAGCTGAGGCATTTAGGGGTTAAACTTCAACCTAGACTTTTGTTTTTACAGCTGATGTGTACACCTTCAATGCATTGATTGAAGCAACAGCATTGAGTACGCATGAGAAACTGGAGGACAGATGGAATAATATACTGGTAAGGAGGAACCCTCATTTTGTTTTCTGATGGGCCTAAAATACCTTTTCCTAGAAATAAAGGGGGTGGAGACAGCATTTACTGTGCATTTTCATGGCAGATACTATCATGCTGGGCGCGCAGTGGTTGGATGTTTACACCCTCCCAGCGACTGTAGTTTAAATGGCTGTGTCTGACATGTGTGTAGAAAAATTTACCTGACCCATTGTCCATGGCTAGAATTCAGAAAGACCACAGTTGCTTCATTTCTCACAGTTTTTTCATTACAAAAATAATGTGTATTTACGGGAACATTTTTATCAGGTGAGTTTGGAAAATTATACTCACTGGATTGAAATAACTTCGGACTAGAAATGTTTTTTGTTTCTACACCATACATTGTCTTTATACCATACTGCTCATTTTAAAGGAAAACACTCCATTCTAGTCTGTCCTTTTGCTTTACTAGGCAGAGTGAAGACAGTTGTACAACTTGATCAGGTGAGGTGGGGTGACTTCTCTAAAAGGCAAAGTCACTGGTCCTGCTAATAGATAAGTTTTGGATAGGGATGTATTTATTAACTTTAGACTTAGCCAGAGAACCAAAATCTTTTTTATTACTTTACTTGCTTATATTTAAAGGTCTTATTTGACAGAGAGAGTCACAGCGAGAGAGGGAACACAAGCGGGGGGTGGGAGAGGGAGAAACAGGGAGCCCAATGCAGGACTTGATCCTAGGACCCTGGGATCATGACCTGAGCCAAAGGCAGACCCTTAACAACTGAGCCACCCAGGTGTCCCCCTTCCCCCAAATTCTTTTTTAGTGTGTGATATTAGTTAATTGGACAAATTACCTATCCAAGCATAAACAAGACTTACTGCTTTTGACTCAACCAGGAGCTGCTAAAACAAATGGCTGCTCAGAAGGTGAAACCAAACCTACAGACATTTAATACCATTCTGAAATGCCTCCGAAGATTTCACGCATTTGGAAAAGTGCCAGCCCTGCAGACCTTTCGTGAAATGAAAGCCATCGGAATAGGTGAGTATGTGTCCTGTCCCTCCCTGGAGGCTGAGCCGGTGCTGGCCGGAGTTCTCAGATCCAGATAAGTGAAAAAGAGATGGTAAACTCTTCTTGCTTTGTACAGAACATACTGAGAATTTCGAGTCCACCATTTGGCACAGTTAATTACAAGTATTGAGTAATGGTGGGAACTCCTTTATCTTCATGCTCTTTATGGCAATTACAATGTTTTTTTTAATACTTCAGTTAGTTTTCTGTGGACTTTTAGGGAGAACTGTTCACTTAAGAATTAGTTTTAAATCCCATGACATTTGCTGGCATAATTAGGTGTTTGGACCTAAATGTGCCACTGTGTTGTATAGTTTGCAGTAATTATTAAAGATTGTTTGGGAACACGTTCACTTCAGTATGCGTTAGTATTCTAGAACGGAGAATTACAGCACAAGTGCATTAGCTGTAACATCTAGTAATGACATGTCAAGGCTTTCTAAAAGTGATTGTTTTTTATCTCTTTCCACTTAACATTAGTTCAAATGAGCTAGGAAAGGTCTTTGTTCAGAGGAATAGGAATGTATCATTTTTTACTTAAATACAAGGTTGGTGTGTTTTTAGTTCATTGTGCCTCAGTAAACACTATTTTTGGACAGCTGTGTTTGACTGACTTCTTTTATTTTTTTCTGTCAATCTGGTAATTTAGAACCCTCGCCTGCAACATACCATTATCTTATTCAGCTGTTTTATCACCACGGTATGTATGACGTTATGTATTAATTCATGTAGAAAGCTAACCCATTCTCTTATGTTTATGTGATTGTTATAGTCTTCTTTCCCTGTGCAGGATTTAAGAATAGAGAACACAAATTAACATTATCCTATAGCCTGAGCAGAAGGTTACTTCAAGTGGAGAGGACAGGGCCATTAAATGTACTAACAGTGTTGGTGTACAGTTACCAATGGTCAAAAGGTGGGACACCTGGGTGGCTCAGTCCGTTAAGCGTCTTCCTTCAGCTCAGGTCATGATCCCAGGGTCATGGGATTGAGCCCCACATCGGACTCCTGCTCAGCAGGGAGTCTGCTCTCTCTGCCTCTGCCCCTCCCCACCGTTCTTACAAGCTCTCTCTCTGTCAAATAAATAAATGAAATCTTTTAAAAACAAAGAAATGGTCAGAAGGTACATTAGTCTGGAGTTCGACTCTCCAGAGCTGTGCTTTTCAGTAAAATAGCCATGAGGCACACATGCCTATTTCATTAAAATTAAATGACATTTAAAATTTCTTCATTGCTTTAGTGCTGCGTAGCCACATGTGGCTCCTAGCTACTGTATTCAGTGATGCAGGAATAGAACATTTCCATTTGTACAGGAAGTTGTTGGATAATGCTGCTCCACAGTAACCTTGACCTTATTCTGAAGTCTTGTAGGAGAACCTTTTGGCTCCGTTTGTCACCTGCTTTAGGCCCCCAGTTCCTGTAGAAGCTGTGCTCTGTTGAATGGACTTCGGAGCAAGGCACATCTGAGTTGAAATTTCACCTGCCATTTATCAGCTTTGCCAAAAGGGACTGGATACCTTACCTGAGTAGATACCGCAGGGCTGTGATGATGAACCCTTGGCTCGTGCTTGAAAGGCATGCAGTAAGCACTCCTAGTCTGTCAGTTCCTAGCCATCCGCCCCAGTCTGGGAAAGATCCCTTCAGAAATGACTTCCGGTCCTTCAGACTTCGCACACAGGAAAGAAGAGAGATTGATTGTCTCTGTTCTGGTGGGCTGAGTTTACGAAATGCACATCCTCACCTATGGGAAGATGCTGTCTTTTAGGGTGGTGGTGGGGGGGAAGAGGTAACAGATTTTATCTTGGAAACAGATAAACAGTGTCCACAATAATTATATCTGCTAACATTTTACTCAACCTTGATGACGTTACAGTGAATCTAGTGTTTCTGACCCTAAAGCCTGTTGCCTTTCTCTTCTACCATTACATACCACTTTGGTTCACTTGTCAAACGAAGTCTGTGGTTTTGCTTCCTAAGGAACACTCTCAGGAGCATGGGGGCAGGCTCAGAGGGGGAGTCTCCGTTTGCCTTACATATGTGGAAACTGGTTCCCCGCAGTAATGACTTTTAGGTATTTACTCAAAGGAGAAAGCCTAAAGAAAGAAAGGATACATATAAAGCGAATTGTTATGTAACAATAAAATGATTAGAAATGCCAGCAAATGGAAACATGCTTGAGGAAATTGTAGAAATACATTTGTACTGTCATTAAAACTACATTACCACGTGTGTGCTGATAAGGTAGGGAACAGATTGTATGAATAAGGTGATGTGTTGGAAAATTGTGTAGGTGCATTTTATACCTATTAGTACTCAGTTCACATGATTTTAAGAGGATTGCCTCATTCCATTAATTCTACAGTTCTCTTTTTCTTGTCCTTTTCATCCCGATCATACATAACACAAATGATTACTGCCAAAATAAATATTTGGTTTTCTGAGTATGCAGATTTGGTGAGGTTGTTTGTATCTCGCGCTTCAGTGAAAGATAAGCTTCAGACAGACTAAGGAGGAAGGGAAAGTGTGCTGGGAGCACACGGACCAAGAGCTGGAACTGCCCCAGATCGTATGGAGAGTTGCCCTCTGTGGTGTGTGCACCCGCTCCTTCAGCAGGCACGCGCTCTGCAGGCTGTGTGCCGGGCAGTACGCTGTGGGGGGTGGGTACAAAGGGATGTAACGGGGGGGGACTCCTTATAAAGCCTAATTGCTTTTTTGTTCTGCAGAAAACCGTTCAAAAGGATCATCCCTCATAATCTATGATATTATGAACGAATTAACGGGACGGAAATTTTCCCCAAGGGACCCAGATGACGGTAGGCACAGAAATTACTTGTGTGAGACAAAGAGCCTGCTCTCTTGATTGCCAGTTATTAGAGGCCTTATGATAGGACAGGGTTTGATTTAGCTTAGTTGTCTTACGGGTGATTATTCTGAAGAGGCCAAAATATGTGTGGCCCATTGCTGTGTGCTTCCTCTACTAGAGTTTTTATTCCTTTAGGTTTAACTTACATGTTAACAGTTATTGCTAGGATATTTATTAATGCTGCTCACTTGAAAATGTATTTTATCCATTGTAACCAAGACTTTGTGAACTTTGATTTTCAGATATGTTTTTTCAGTCAGCCATGAGAGTTGTGAGTACTGATTCTTGTTTAACTTTTGTTTTTCTTTTTCCTTTTAGTCACTTAAATTTATCTTTAACTGGGGTGAGTGGGCTCCCCTCGTTTTTTCACTTTCTCTTTTATGTCTTTGGTCCAAATTTTCTTTTTTTCCTCTTAGATTTCATACTAATTCACATAGCATTCCTATCCTTTGTTTATTGTATAGGTTGTCTTTCTTCACATCTTTGCTCAGATAAGGTTTCAGAGTATTTCATATTTACCTATTGGTGATTTTTTAAATTGATAATGGTTCTTTGGGATTTAGGTTTTTCATTTTATGTTAATTAGAAAAAGTTTTAGGCGGTTTCAGGATGGATTAGCATATCCTATTCCCTAAGGATAATTGCTTTCCAAAAGGTTAGTGTGTACCCTTGCAGGTTTTCTCCTCCAGGTATTCAGACACACACAGCCAGGCCCGTTTCAACTGTATTTTGTTTGTTGACAATTGCATAGTATTTCATAGGAGGGAGGGACTGCAATTTACTGGAGTCTTCTACTATTCTTGTATTTTGGAGTTACTGTGTGGGGGTTTTTTTGCAAATATAGTGAGGCTGAAATGAGCACTCCATCTCTCTTTTATACACATAACCAGGTGTTTTCATAGGATTGATTTCTAAAGCTACAATCACTAGATTAAAATTCTGTTTTAGATTTCACAGAACTTGGGGTTTGCCTCCCCCCCACCCCAATCTTATAACTCATTTGCTGTTAACTAGTAATACATTGAATCAGCGTGAATATTTCCACAAGTGACTCTTTTTAATGTAATGAGCCACTGTTTGGCTGGTAAATCTGAGTGATGCTTACTGCTTGCAAATTTTCAGTGCTCATTTCTCAGAGATCTAGAACTTGCTTATCAAGTACATGGCCTTTTAAACACTGGAGACAACTGGAAATTCATTGGACCAGATCATCGGCGTAATTTCTATTAGTAAGTGTGTTGGAAATGTATCCTTTTGCATTATTGGAGCCTCTTTAAGCAACCATTAGTTCTGCAAATGGGAGACTGTTGGTAGGCTTCCTGTCATCCCTGGAGGCAGCAGGCCCCTGACTTAAAGTACATATACTTAGGGTACATGTTACTTGAGCACTTGGATGTTCAAGCAGTGGTAAAACTGATTTGCCTGAGATGTCTGGTATAGTTATATCTTTTAGATTGTTTTTCTGTGTAACAGTTTAAATCTATGTATCTTTTCCTCTAGGCCCTATTTTAGATTTTTGAATATATATAGTAGGGTGGGTCCTAACAATTTCAGCCTTTTTTTTTTTTTTTAAATTTTATTTAAAGATGTTATTTATTAGAGAAGGGGCAGGGGAAGAGGGAAAAGCAGACTCCTGGCTGAGCAGGGAGCCTGATGCAGGGCTCAATCCGAGGACCCTAAGATCATGACCCAAGCTGAAGGATGACGCTTAACCCACTGAGCCACCCAGGCATCCCAGCCTCTTGTTTTTAAAAAGGAAGGTACAGAGATAAAGCCCAAAGAGGCTCCTTAAATTAGTTTGACTTCAGGTAGATAAAAACAAACAAGCACTTAAGGAGGCATTCTGTTAATAGGCATGTAATGATTGTCTTCTGTGTGTCTATATCCTTGCTTCACATTGCGTGCTTTTAAAATGAATGGATATTCACTGTCTGCTCACAGTGAGCTGAGAACATATTGAGGCAGTCATGAATGGCCAGCTGTGGGTAAGAAGGTGTTAATTAGGAAGTCCAGACAGCATGGTTAGCACCTTCTGGGTCAAGCATTGGCCCATGCAATTTGACACTGTTTGTAACTTATAAGTTGATTTTAAATTCTGTGTAACATCATATAGCTGTGCTGTAATTTAATTATTCTGTTGTTAGGGATCTGAGACTAAACCTATCTTTTCTCTCCATTACAGTTCCAAGTTTTTCAGTTTGCTTTGTCTAATGGAACAAATTGATGTCACCTTGAAGTGGTACAAGGACCTGATACCTTCAGTAAGATGATCATAACCTGTCATTGTAGATGAGCTGGTGGGTATCTTTGCTGACTAATACCTTAAAATATATCCCTGTTTCTCTTAATCAGGTGTTCTTTCCCCGTTCCCAAACTCTGATAGATCTTCTCCAAGCATTGGATGTGGCCAACCGGCTAGAAGTGATTCCTCAAATTTGGAAAGGTTGGTTTCAGCTTGTGTGTTCAGCACCATCTCACTTCATCACTTCATTGTCCTACATTTTGATTAACAAACGTGCCAACATTGTTAGGGATGGAAATTTCCATTTTTTCACTAAATTGAGTATATTATAGTCTGCTTCATGGGTGCTGGCTCACTTTGCATGTTGGGTTGCATGAGTAAAGATGCATTGAAAGTGACCTTAAATAAGTTTTTGTGTGACACGACAAAGGGAAGATCAGTGCTCATTACGTGACACACCCTAAATCAAAATTCAGATCTCCACCCATAGAGTCTTTCCAGTTCCTCTGTATCATGCTGCATTCTTGTAACTCAGTTGTTAACCTGTCAGTGATACTTAATGCTTCTAAGAAATGGGCATGATTGTGGGTTTCTGTGTATAAACTGGCTGCAGAAGATGCTGCGTGTCTTCTACAAGGTGACTGCGATCGCAGCTTGAGTTTCTGTCGGCTGCACGTTTCCATGTCTGAACACTGAGACTCTAGCCCTGACCTGTTTCACAAGATTGCTCTAATGATTGTTACATTAAAGATCATTGACAATCACCAAGTGCTGTAAAACCATGTCTTGCCACATGGAGCTGGTAGCTGCTCCACAGTAGCACACCTGCTGTGTCTTGCCCTTGACTGGGAGCAGGTCACTGCCTTCCATTGCTCCTTCATCCATTTTTAGCGTGAATTATCCTGCTGATTGCCTGGAGTCCTAGAATAAATAGTGTCAGCACCTGACTTTGACCAGCCCACGAACTGTGACAGTGGACAAAGGTCAGCTGAAGAGTTTTGGTTTTACATGACTGTAATCACCTCTGTGTTCTTTTTCTGTTTCAAGATAGTAAAGAATATGGTCACACTTTTCGCAATGACCTGAAAGAAGAGATTCTGATGCTTATGGCGAGGGATCAGCACCCACCAGAGGTAGGTAGGGTTGTATCCAGAGTCAGGTTATGTTACAGTGATTAGAAGTGTACTAGCCAGTATGTTCTCTAATACTGTGGACTTTGTAGCGGTAATTTCCTTGGTTTCATTTAGGGAAACATTACAGAGAATTTTGCCATCTAAACCCAGATTTAAATTCTGTGTCTGAACACCCAGCCATTAGCAGAATCCCATTTTTGAAGTCCAAAACAAGTTGCTTTCTGTCTTGACAGTAGTAGCTTTTTGAAAAAAATTCCCATCTAAAGAGAAAACCCATAACGTATTTGAAGAATGTGGCCAACTTGCAAATTATTTACCCCAGAGCAGGGCGGGGTGTTTGTGTGTGTGTGTGTGTGTGTGTGTGATTTTTTTTTTTTTTAAATCTTTCGTGTACTATACCTGTGATGGGTTCAGATGGTAAAATGCATAGCTCAAAAATGTCATGTCTGTGGAATCTCCTGAACTTAAGACTCTCCTCAGACCAGCTAGGCAGTTCTGCTGACTCTGAGCCTCTCAGCTTCAGGTGGCGTTTGCTGACTGTGCTGCAGATATCAGATCCACTTACGAGAGTCAGGATGGCAGACAGACTGCTCCTGAGTGGCCAGCCAACTCTCTGAACTATATCGCTGTCCTCTTTTTAAGGGCTGGGAGAACCCAGGAAGCCTGGTGAGTGCAAAACCTCAAGTGTATAGTAGCAGTATTTGTATCTGGATCTCAGAGAACATCTTCCCTGGTCACTGTATGACGTGTAATCAGAAAAATGAGTTTTTTCTGGGATTGCAAATACTGACTGAAAAGGAAACTTTTGGAAGACCAGCAGAGTATATAAACATTGTATTTAAGAGAGGACACAGTTTAATGGGCTAATTCTCTATTGCTCTCTTGTTTTCTGTATCCATGGGCAAGGAATCTCTCGTCTGTCCACTTAATAGGATGAGAGAATCTTACTTTTGAAAATGTCTTGGGCATTTGGCTTATCCACATATTACTTAATGCTTAAAATGCAGCCTGTACACTTGGGACTTCTAGAAACTGACATTTACAAACTTGACTAGAACCATCTTTGGTTTGTGTCACTGTGTGCCTACCAGTTAGGTGTTTTCATCAGCACTTCCCTCACATACTAATTCTTAGTGTTTGTGAATGGACACTTCACATGCATTCCTTTTTCCAAAAGCAGAGAAGTCAAGAAAAGAATACTTTGTAGGAGTAGTCCTCATTAGGTGATTTTGTTCAGTAAGTGGGGTACTTGTTTTTGGCCTTTTCAACATGAGAAAATGACTTGAACAGAGTTTTCAGCCCAAAATGTCAAAAGGCTGGTAAATGAAGGCTTTGCTGCCTCAACTGGTCTTAGGAGTATGAAATCACACACATGACCTGCTACACTGCTAGTGACCAACCTTTGATGCTCGAATTTGTTAACGGGTTGACACACACGTGTTAGGAGTCAGGCTGTGATGATTGGCGCAGGGGTACGGACCTCAGCTGAATCATGGGAGCTGAATGTACGTGTTTCGCCTTTGTCTTGCATGTGGCAGGACGCCGGTGAGCACTTACATGAGACAGATGCCTCAATCTGAGCCTGCTCTTCACCGCGTATCTCTAGGACACTGCTCTCGTTCTGGGATTGTAAGAGGATAGAGATCACGCTCTTTTGCATCCCTCTCTAGAAGAGGATGTAACCCTCAGTAAATCTCAACCCTGGCAACGAATCATACTTGCCTGGGAAATGCACCTGTGTGAAGTCTGGGAGGAGGGAGTTGAAGCACCCAAGGTGATTTGGATGTAAACAGGATTGGGAGCCAGGCAGCTCACAGCTGCTGTCTTCAGGAACTTAAAGCAGGAGAACAGCTATGATCATCTGCTCACCTTCTGTGCTGTTAATCTTTCTCGTTATCTCGTGTTGAACAGGAAAATGTTGGGGCTTTTCAAGAAGCATAATAAGATCCCTGGGTAAGTTGAAGTTAACAGGCTTCCCTGGCTACATGTTGGAATTAGCTTCATGGTCTTAACTCTTACCTTGGGGTGATTGGAACTTCTTTACATATCTCATTCAGTGATTGAGCATCCTTCTGCTGAAGCACATGGACAGTTCTACCATCTAGGGCATTCTGAAGCAAGCAGTGTTTTTAATCTGTGCTTGTTGATTGCAACACACTGGCGATACACTGAACAGATCCTTCATGGAGGCATACTGAACCAATGTTCATTCTCTCTTTGACCCTTTAGTCTTCAGGGCAGCACCTGGGTGGCTCAGGTTAAGTGTCTGCATTCGGTTGGTCATGGTTTTAGGGTTGAGCCCTGTGTATGGCTTCTCCTCAGTGGGAAGTCTGCTTCTTCCTCTGCCCCTCCCCCCACTCGTGCTGCCTCTCTCTCAGATGAATAAATTTTTTAAAATCTTTAAGAAAAAAAAAAAATTTACCTCCAAAGCTACTGTTGGAAGATTTCATGACTCAGCTTTATAGGAAGTTAGATTTTACTTTGCATATAAATCTTTGAGGGGATCCAGGGGTTTAGGTGGGGAATGTTGACATTTTGCCTTTCTTTTGCAGAAATAAGTTGCTGAACGAGTTTATGGACAGTGCAAAAGCATCCAGCAGCCCTGCCCAGGCCATTGAGATAGTGAAGCTGGCAGGTGCCTTCAGTTTGCCTATTTGTGAAGACCTTGCCCAGAGAGTGATGGCTGACTTTGCGATCAGCCAGGAACAAAAGTGAGCCCTGCATGGGTAACATAAAAGAAAGTGATAGAAGTGGAGCAGGCCATTTGCCCATCTACCCAGTGTTTATAGTCTTCTGCCTCCTTAACTTTTTTCTTTGCAGAAAGGACATGTTAGCTATTTATTTCATTTGTCATACATGTCAGAGGCCTGTAGATTTGGCTCTTGGAACCTTTTCCCTTTTCATCATAGTTCAGTGCAGCTGCAGAGTCTCTCCCCCACGCCTAAAATGCAGTGTAACCCTCTAGTTTATTTTCCTTACAGGGAAGCCCTGGGAAACCTAACCTCACTGACCAGTGATAGCGACAGTGACAGCGACACCAGTGAAGGCAAATAAGAGTGGGCAAATCAGGAGAAGCTGTGGCCTGGAATAGCTGTTAAAATTACACTTGAGAACTGCCATCTCCATCTAACCATATTGTGAAGAAAACAAGAGAATTCAGCCTTGAACTTTGAAGAACAATAGATACAACATGGACTAAATTCCTAATTTGATACTTCCTAAGCCACCCTTTCAGGGTTGACCATTTAAACAGAAGCAGCACTACCATTTTCCTTTCTTTGGACATGCAGTGTGAGGACACAGCTCCTAGCTTCAGCATAAGCTCTGCGGACCTACAATGTTTGTTCGGCCAACTTCACATGCTGTCCAGTGTGGTCTGCCCTCCCCTCTCATGGACTTGGCCTTTGTTGGCTGATGCTATGATGGTGGTACTTCCTCAGTCTTTGAGAAGGTGGCTAAAGGAGATTTGCAGTACAAATCTCTGATACTAGATTAGTAACCCAATTTCAGGGGTATTGTAGAGGTGAGAAATTTGCCATTGTTGTTTAATCATTACGTATGGGAAAATGGAGGCTGTAATTAAACCCTAGTTATGCATTTGTATGCACTCCCATTACTTTTACACAGCCAAGTTCCAGGGCTGGGGGGGAGGGGAGGTACTCCATCTCCTTTGCTTCCCTCCTTGCGTGCCAGGACCTTTAGTTGCACTCTACTCAAAGTGCTCAAGAGTGAGGGCTGCTGGGCACCTGGGTAGCTCAGTAGGTTAAGCATCTGCCTTCAGCTCCTTCCTTCAGCTCTGGTCATGATCCTCGGGTCCTGGTATTGAGCCCTGCATTGGGCTCCCTGCCCAGTGGGAACCCTGCTCCTCCTCCTGCCTGCCACTCCCCTACCTGTGCGCTCCTTTGCTCTGTCACATAAAAAAAACATAAAAAAATAAAAATCAGAACTTCTACTTCTGGCATTTCTCTTGCCATTCTGAAATCCTGTTGGAAGCTAACAGGAACCTGCATGGTTCACAAGAGCATTACCCTTCATAGGGTTTCCACAGGCTGCTTTTGCTCATGCGTAGTCCAGATGTACTGAGTTCCCACAGAGGAAGACCTTCATCTTTATCTTGCCAGGGCTGCCACTGATGGCCGACTATATCGTATCATTGTCTGTTACATGGGTCTGTTCCAGCTCTTTCTATCCTCTCTAGGCCTGGACCCAGCCTTATATCCTCAAAAACCTAAGTAGTAGTTCATGTTTTCTCCTAGGTGGCTGGTTTAAGACCTCTAATTGAAGGACAAAGGGGGCAGAGAAATGACAGTAATGAGCTACTTAAGCATTCACCTGTCTTACTCTGACATAACTGAAGCAAATGAACAAAAGGACAGTTAAGGCTGATTAGCCTTTGATCTTTGTTTACAACTTCCAGGGAGAACCTGGCTTCCTGTTAAGTTTCTGTTCACTCTGGTCCTTCCCATCTCACGTACAGATGCCTGGCTCTCTTGGCCAAATACTATACTCATTGCAGTCCTTATACATGTGTACATTTCTCCTTGCCAGGCCCCAAATGAACCCTCACCTTAGTGCTTGGCAGCTACAGAGCTGATGGGACAAAGTCCCATCTTGGCTGATGTTATGAAAATTTATAATGGATTTCCATGTAGTTCAGTTGTTTTAACTGCTGTAGTTTACTCCAAATACCTACTCTAGGCAAATAACTGCTTCGAAGTTTCAAAAAATTAGCCCTGTAGGGTTTGTCTCTATTCTTTTTATTTTTAAAGATTTTATTTTTAATCTCTACATCCAACCTGGGGCTTAAACTTAACCCTGAAATCAAGAGTTGCATGCTTTACTAACTCAAAACAGCCAAGTACCCCTCCATTCTCTCATTTTTAAAATATTTATTCACTAATATTAGCCTATAATAGCGAAAGATGATGCTTCTTTATATCAAAGTCAATAACCTACAGTTTTTGCTTCTAGTCCCTGGCTCTCCCCTCAATTTTGCTGTCTTCTTCCTCACAAGAGTCTAATGCACTCAAGTACTGCATGCCTAAAAGGCAGTTACTAAAATGAGTGGTTTCTCAGTCATGTACTAGAATGCCTCATTTTTACGACCACTCTTAAATAGGTCTTAACGTTTCATAGATGTTTAAATAGGAAATATTTACATTTACAACCTAAAATCGTTTTATTTAATTTTTTAAAAGATTTTTATTTATTTATTTGACATCACAAGTAGGCACAGAGGCAGGCAGAGAGAGAGGAGGAAGCAGACTCCCTGCCGAGCAGAGAGCCTGACTCGGGGCTCCATCCCAGGACCCTGGGATCATGACCTGAGCCGAAGGCAGAGGCTGTAAGGCGCCCCTAAAATCAGTGTTTTAAACAAAATGGTATGAGGAGAAAGATTTGAGTTCTAAATCCAATTAGCAGGATCAAGTTATGAAAAACTTTGGAGCATTAATGGCAGATAAAGCAACCTTGTTAAAATAATCCAAAAATAGCCTTCTAGAAATTGGGAATTGAGGACAGTTTAACTGTTTTTTAGAAACTTACCAGAAAGGAACTGGAGAAAACAGAGGAGCAAACTGTGGAGTCAGGACCCATGGAATGGGAAGGGTTAAGGGAGGAGGCCTGCTACATGTGAATAAACTTGTTCAGTATGCCTCAGATCACCAGTGTGTGGAAATTAGGAACTAGCAGATCTGAGGTTTAGAAGAACAATTTGAGGACTCCAGCAATAAAATGGACTATCTGATGTTGGTCTTTAAACTGTAGGATCTGAAGATGAATTTTGTGGGTGATTAGAATACTGAAATTAGAAAATCAAAGTACATCACATGCAATAAAGCTGTGATACACTTTACAGTGCATCTAAACATGCATACATGTTTACATAAACATCTAAACATGCGTATAGATACACGTGTTAAGTTTATCTGGTCATGACATAAATTATTTTCCTGCTGGTAACAAAGTTTTTAAAACACTGAAATAGGACAAGCTCGGAGACCGCAGTCACTGGAACAAGACTGCTCAGGGCAAGTTCAGGGAGTCATTTAGATCAGATCTTTGGAGCAGAGTGGTGATTTACCAGAGAAAAGTATTTGATTTGGTTAACAAAAGGCAATGTGCTAATGGAAGGACAGAAATGTAAGGTATATAGGGTCTGGGCAGTGAAGGAACATCCATCCTGGCCCAGGAAGGAGCCTAACCTGTCAAAATGCTGTCCATCCAATCCGCACAGCCGTGAACTGAGAGAATTCAGGACTTGGAGATCAAGCCCAGGAACAGTTTACAGAGCTTGGCAGGATTTCAGAGTCTTAAAAACTAAGAATGTCCAAGAGGAATTAAGGTTATGAGAATTTATTCCCAGGGAAACCTAAACTTTGCCACCAATACCAGTGGAATTTGTTCCTACAACAGTGGCACCTCTGCTGGCTCTTGCCTCTTAGTCCCTCTAGAAACCCTCTTCGTGAAAACCCCAGGGCAGTGTCCCTACTGCTAACGTGAACTAACAAGTCAGTGAAACCACATGACCTCCCCCACGTTTTGGAAAGGGGCAGAGTGGCCGGTTACCCTCCTCCTCTTCGACCATCTCTTCCTGATACTTTCCTGATAACCTCAGGGTCCCTAAATGCATCAGGGGGAAGGAAACAGGGAGTAGGAGGACTACTCAGTAGTAGAAGGGGGTTCAGCTTTGCACTGGACCTGATGAAGAGTGATTTGCCTGATAATCCTTTTTATTTCCCATTCATGTTAGATTATCTGTTCTTCTGCATTGAGTTCAAGCAAGTTACTTTAAAACTGGTGGGACAACTCATTTGGGACTTGGAGACTGCTTTTATCCAGAACCTGTTAAGAAAGAGCAGAGGATTTAAATTAATACTAAGGAATAGACTATTTGCCTTAAAAAAGACTATCTAAAACTGCATTTTAGTTACATTATTGATTTTAAAACATTAAAGCAAAGATCGGAGTTTTAATGTTGTATCTGGAGACATGAATTTAAAATGCTGAGGAACACTTCCTACAGCCCTCAAGAGGGAGGCAGTAAGGTAACCCAATTTAAGGCTCAAATAGATTGAGACAATGAAAGCAAGACAGAAATAATGATTTGCTTCACACGATCATGTCAGAAGTGGCAGAGATGTAACTTACCACCTATAGTTGAAGTAAAAACCTGCTGGAGTGAAGCTGCCTGCCTCTAACGGTCCAGAGTTACAGCCATCTTCCCCCAAACTTGCCCTTCTGGGTTCCACCTTGCCCTCAAGGACAACTGAGAACCCAAGTAAAGGCCCTTTTTACTTGAGGGTTGCTGCATAACATCTCAGGAAGATGGGAGTCTCGCTACACATAAGGAGAGAGAACCAAAGCCTGACCGAGCATCCCCTTTCAACCTCACCCCATTTTCCCACAGGCAGCAGGGGTAAGGAGGTTAATGGAACTACTAAAACTTGAAGGCCAGTGGTCTTCGTTATTTTCAATGACTGAGCTAAAATAAACCATTCAGTATTGCTTCTTACGAGCTCAGAGAGTCACATCTGATGAGAGTTATTTCCCAGCTCCTAGAGAAATTTAGATTACCTCATAACTGGTAATATTTTACATGCTACATAAGTAGAACAAATCACATGCACCTTTACCATGACAAACAGGTAAGCAGCTTTGCGAGTTAATGTATTTTGTAGTTCCATGCCATTCCAAAGGGAAGGCTGAATTTAGAGCAGCCTCATTATCTTCTGGTAAAAATAGCCCACTCTAACTGCAGAAATTAAGGGCATTACACAAATCATGTGTTCTATCAGAGACACTGTATATATTTTGTTGATTTAAGAATCTACTTAGGAAGAACATAAGGAATATTAGCAATATCAACCAAGGCCAAAACAGGACCAAAAGATCTCCACATCAAAGGTCAAGTGCCATGCAAACTCAATGTAACAATCCAAATTCAGTATCTGGCACACACCTGCAGAAATATAAAACAGAATTCCTCTCTCCTTTAGGATTTGCAGTTACTTTGCTCAGATAAAAGTGCCTCCTCAGTCTCTTTGTGAACACACAAACTTCAACAAAAATTAAAATTACTAAAAAAATTTTTTGACAATATTTTCATGGAATTAAAAAAAAAAAAAGGAATTTGTTAATGTTTACCCAATATGGCAATTGTCCTAACCTTCAGAGATGTGAACTAAAGTTCTCTGGGTTTCATAGCAATCCAGTTTAAATATACCACAAAATTATTCAATCCCGTGAAGTTACCAGGCTCACTATCCCCACTTCAATGAAGAGATTCAGTCCAAGACTAGAAAGGAGCAAGGTCAATTACCCGTGTTTCAGAACCGAGAGCTGTGACCTGTTTTGAGGGCTGTTGAATTAATTTGTGCATAAAAAAAGAATTTTTTTTTTTTTTTAAATGAAACAGACCAGAAAACAGTACATCACAAGTAAAAAGGGGCTAGCAGTGGTTTGGAAAAACTTTTATGTATGTATATATAGGGTCCCAATGTAAAATAA